CGTGCTGCCAGCGCGAGAGGCTAACTGGCGCCTACAAACCTAAGTGGATACTTCACGCATTGCACAATGCTTGAAGTATCCACTTAGGTTTGTAGGCGCCAGTGAGCCTCTCGCGCTGGCCGCCCGCCCGCCAAGCGGTGGCACCTGAAGCAACTATTTCACAACAGAGGTGTTGCACAGTATTATACGAAATTGAACGTATTAAGAATGACACGCATCCTTTAAAAGTACAGATCTTTCCTCGCAAAATAAATCAAGATATCGTACACAGGACAAATCTAAGACCCTTTAGCTGAGGCAAATATAGAGGTTTATCCGGTTCAGGTATAACAAGGTGGGAATTTTTTGAGAGATAATTGTAAGTCCTGTTACACCAAAGATGTGTAGAGAGTTTTAGTGAATTTTGTCTCTTGGAATTGACGCTCCCCCATTTTTACCAAAACTCTCAACTATATCTTACTTTCCGTTGGACCAAACAGACGAAACAAAAAGACACTCAAACCCTCATTCTTCCAAGACATTTTACATATTCATCCAAAAACGCCGTGAGCAGTCGTCGTTTGTATTTACATGTGGGCCAATTAACTTTGGGTCTCAACTGGCACGTGGACCAAAACTCCCGTGCCGAGAAAACGCGTGGACGTAAATTACTGGAAAAAACAAGTGCGCGGACAAAAAATCGTTGACGAAATGTCCTATAACCCACCACTTAGCTATGAAGCATCCAGATGCTACGCATATAGTTTCCTTGGATTTAATTCATGTACACACAGTTCCTTTCTTACATAAATATCGTCCTGAAAATATTTCCCAGGAAGTCTTCTGTAACTTCATTTACTTTTTTTCAAGAAAAAGTAGCATGTGCGTTCAGCATTCAGACAAAGCAGAGAATCCTCGAATGTTGACGCAAGTTTGAGGGGAGAAAAGTCTAAATTAGGAATAGGAAGTAACGCAGTTATCATGAAAGCAAATTGTAATAAGCTTTGGCTACACGAATCGCGGGGGCGAACGAACCTTTGCATCGCTCGAAATTTGTGTCAATAATTCCTCCTGTTCCTTCGTAATAACCAAAGTAAAACAGTCAATTTTCTCATTGTTTATAGCCAAAACAAAAGGACAATTTTGTGCTTTCATAGGATTTTTCATCGCCCATGCAGAAAAAAGGATGTGACAATAGACGTAAGCTCCACAAAGTCATGAGCCCTTCAAATTTATCCAGCCGGATGGTGACATAGCTCAAGAATTTAAGCAATTAAACCTTTATTTACCTTATACCTCAACTTCGTTCAGCTGCCGCGAAATATTCCGTCGCCCCTCTGACACAAGGGCTTGTCTCAAATTCCACGTGAGCCTTATTTTACTTGTAAATCCATGCGTTCCGGGGCTCTTGCGGAGATAGAGATACGCCCTTACGCCAGAAGAGCGACGCTTTTAGCCCCAAGAGAACAGTTCCGAGGAAAGTCCGTTCCCCTCTCTTCATCTAACAACCACCCTGCAGTCTCAAACCCTTTCCGGCAGTGGCGTGGCTCTGCGATATATCGATTGTTATGCCATTTAAACCTTTAGAAAAGGATCGATAAACAGAGAGTTCGCAGCGAACACCTTAATAATCGATTCTTTACCATAGGTTTAAATGGCAGAGCAATCGATACATCACAATTCACGCCACGCCACTGCTTCCGGGGGTGGAAAAATATGCGAGAAATAATTATTAGCGGCGCTCATTTTGAGGGATGTGCAGTATGGCATATGCATATCACGTCTGACGTGGGGTTGTTGTCAGACGGACTGAAAAAGCTCAAAATTAGCACGGAATTACTTGTCATTTCCATGCCGCGCGTCAAAACTTTTCCCAAGATTTGGCCTCGATGTTGGTGGTTGCTGGACTTCACTAAGCCCTGTCTCGCTCGGAAAATATTCTGCATTGTTCTCGCTCAATATGCGACGTTGCTGACCGGGCCAAAACTTCGAATTTATTCCTCATTATGAATCTAGAGATATGGTGTTTGCGAGCGTGGCATGACTACAAGACCTTTGGGCAATGTTAATTTTCAACCGCGAGTGAATCCTGTGAAAGGAAGTTTGTGTCGAAGGAAAATTTCTGTGGAAGCTCAAATTGCAGAGGTTAAAAACGGAAAAGGGTACCTTCAATTGAGGACTTTTCATATATGAAGCTACGAAATCAACAGGAAACTACAGACATTTTGTAGTTGTGGTTCGATAGAGAGCAATGGAGGTTAGGTGTCGGAGAGCACGAGGGCGTGCTATAAAGCGACCTATATATGTAACTACGGAATTCCTCTAACATTTTCAAAATTCGTACGTTAAAGTTTGAAAAAAATGTACTGTGTGGCAGTTGTAAATACTGCGACTTGCCTCAGGAATTCGTAGTGAATGTGTTTCCGGTTAAAGATTTATTTGAAGAACATCCAGCTCGTACCCCTTTCCTCATTTACTCCTTATGTTCATCAGTTCCATCATTGAATGTGTCGCCAAGATTTTTATACTTCCCCCAAAATACCAAGATTATTCAACTTTGGTTTTGATTTTAATTTGGGTATAACTTGTAATTTTCTTCTCGTAGCGCCCGCAACGTAGATTTAAACCCATCCCTAAAATAGTGCGTGGTTTAATACTAAGCTTCTCCCTAGCAGCCTTTCGCCACGGTTTGACATCTATGTTACCGGCCGGAATTCCGTGATCGATTGCGGACCATTGCGCATTTCTTCCGCCAAGAAATGCAATAAAAAATAATAGTAAGCCGATCGAGGGAAAAGTTCGCCTTTTGTTTTTAACCCTAAAGAGTCGAGTTCACCAGGATCGTATATTATGGAGATCTATGGGGAGGATCGGCGACTGCGTATTGAAATTCAAGCGCGCTGCAGAGATTCACAAGTTTACTAACGCATCTATTGTAAAATGTCGGCACCCCACAGAAATACGAAACTCACATTGGGCTGGATATAAATTAATTCCATTCTTAATTCATCTAAGCTCTCCGGATATTTTTAAAATTTAGTCTGTATTATGGCTGGGGAGTCGCATGTTCCGTCTGGAAGTTTGATGCCTCATTGGCCGAGATGACGATGTCTCAGATGTTTTGTAAGACGTCGTAGTCGTAGCGCATATTATTAAGCCATAAGGTTGAAATTAGTATGATAGCAATTAATTTTCACATTCGTTCGAGTTCTAAATTCTAATATCAATAATTGAATCAGTAATTGTGATTAAGAGAGTTATTTAAGGAGATCCCAAAGAAAGCATAATTTAAAGGATGATTTTAAAAAATTCACCGGTAAAACTCAACAGTATAATTTTTTAAAAAGATCTTTGAAAGGGACTAAAAAGATTTGCCTTTACAAAAATTTAAATTTTTTTATCAATTTAAATATTTCAGAGCACATTCATACCTACCTTAAAGTTTGTCGAAAATTATAAAACATTCTCTTCCGTAGGTACCACTCATATGTCTTGGTGGTAAAAAGACTCGCTATCCCTTTCAAGATTTATTTCCGAAGTTATTCCGTCGAATCTTACTCAAGATCCCTTGAAATTGTCCTGTTTATGATGTCATATCAAGGATCTCTTTGAACCTCTCTTGATCGCAATGTAGGTAAACCATTTGAGGCTTACTACCGAAAGGGACTGTTTCAGAAAAGACCATGAATACAACCCTGATATACATATGTATACCTTTGGCGTAGGCAATCACAGAAAGCTCAGTAATGTAGAATTAATTAATCTTGAAGCGAATCACAGAAAAGACCATCACTGCCGTGCTAATGAGGATAGCCGTATGAGCCCTCAGACCTCTGGTAAAAATTGGCAGTAGAATCTTTGTACCAAAATACCATAGACCTACAGCCGGGTGTAAGATTTCCAATAGCTTCTATAGCCGGCTACACAATTTCTTATAGCCTTTTATAGCCGATGGCGACGAAGCAACTCACAGACAGGCGATAAAGTGTATTCTAAACGTCACTAATTACGGATGCTTAGACTTAGTGAGTTTTTGGAACACTGCTCTCTTTTTGGGCCGTAGTATCTTGATTTATTTTGCGAGGAAAGCTCCGTACTTTTGATGGATTCCTGCCATTCCTAATATATTAGAGCGCCTTCAGTTTCGTATGATACTGCGCAATACCTCTGGTGTGAAATAGTTGCTTCAAGCGCCGTGGCACGCTGCGGTGCGGCAAGCGGGTAGCCAGCGCGAAACGCGCATTGGCGCCTACAAACCTAACAGGGATACTTCACGCATTGCGCAATGCGTGAAGTATCCCTGTTAGGTTTGTAGGCGCCAGTGCGTCGCCGCTCCGCTTTGTGTTAGGCTCTAATATTTAATCTGGTGGAATCAGCGTTATTCAACTCATGATTTTGAAATGTTTGCACATCCTGTATGGATTATTCTCGTTTTAATTGATAAAAAAAATATGTATTAAAGGAAAATATAACGTGTGTTTTGTAAATATTAAGGTGGTTCCGTATCAAACTTAATGATTTCCAAAGCACACGAATTTCTACACAATTTCATATAGCCTTTTATAATCGATGGCGAAAAAGCAACAGCCAGGCGATAAAGTGTAAAGCCCGGCTATAGAAACTATAGCCTGGCTGCATAATTTTTTATCGCTTCGTATAGCCCGGCCGCATGATTTTCTCCACATTCTACAGCCAGCTATATGATTTTCTGTAGCCTTCTTTAGGCGGCTATAAGAATTCCTATGGTATTTTGAAACGCATGCTCTTATCGCCAATTTTTACCAGAGACGCGGCTAAATCTCCTTTTGAAAAATCACGGATTCTCAGAGAGATTTGTGAATATTTTTCTTCCGATTTTTCACACACGTTACTGCGTAATTTGATCTAGGGTGGCTGAAAATTTTAAGGAAAAATATTCACGACTTTCTTGAAAAAATAAATAATTTCTGAGAAACTTTTGAACGCTCTTACAGCGGTTTTCCTCAGCACAGCTGATCAGTAAGTCGTTGCGGGAAACTTACCGAGACTGTGCGAACATCGTAGCGAGACGTTAACTTCCTAAGGCGTGAGTATTCGTTCTTGTATCTATCAGCGCTGCTCAATTCTTTCTTTCGCACTGACGACATGCGTGCCAATTTCACAAAATAAGTTCCAGGCACAGAGCTCAATTCTTCTTGTAAATTAATTGAAGTGTCCACGCGTTTGATCAATCCATCGTTGAGTGATCAACGTTGATTCTTATGACGTCACACAAAAAGGTCTTGATTGGGAGATTTTCTAGGGCACTAAACGACTCATCACCAATCTGCTCCTAATTTCGACGATTTTTAACCAAACGGAATCGGAATCGGACCGCGTTAAGCAGAAAAGAATCAAGCCACCATCAGCTTTTGCCAAATTTATCACCGAGAAGAAAGATTGGTAGAATTTACCATTCCTTCACGCTGTATTTAACACAGTGTGAATTCAAAGTCGATTCTGCCAGAGGAATGGTTACCTGTACCAGTATATAGTAACGTTTACCTTTCTTCTGGCAGAATTGACTCTGAATTAACGCTGTGTGAAATACAGCGTGACGGAATGGTAAATTCTGCCAATCTTTTTGCTCGGTTATAATTGAGCAATTCAATTTTTTCCATGAAAACGGTTGTGTGAATTTTTGTGCAAATTTCTGTTAATTTTTTTTCACAGTACGAAGCAAATTCCTCAAAATATTCAAAGGAGTCCGCACAAGCGTTTTCTCGTAAAAAATTAAATTGTCCAGTTTTTGGCAGTGGCTGCAGAAGTGGCTTAGTTCCTTCCTGCTAAACGCAGTCCAATTATCAAGATTTTTTGAAAAAAGCACGATTTTAAAAATAAACACTCTGTGGAAATTAGGCAACATGCGAATGTTCATACGCCGGTCTTCCTTAGCGCGGTAGCACGATACGCATGTCATGAAACTTCGCCACGCACAGGCACACCGTCGTTAAAATTCTCTGTCAAGGCCTTAAGGTGATATTTCCGTTGATTTAGAGCCAAACTACGAGAATTAGTCTCCGTTTGATCTTGAACATCAAAGTAGACGATTTTAGAGCCACGCTTCGCTATGTATTTATTTTCATAAATGTTCCCAACTTATATTTCCGGATTGGTTACGCGACTGTCCCACATTCATCGGCTGTACGGGAATGCATACTTGAATCGCGCGGTTCTTTACGGAAACGTGTCAGGTTCGATCACCTGAAATGAATGAACTTAAGCAAAAGATGCACCCCCACATTGGCAATTCGACAGATCCTAAATTCATTAAATTATTGAACCGCGTTAAACAGAAAGGAACCAAGCTACACCAGCACTGACAAAAACCGAGCAATTTAATTTTTTGCAAGAGAGCATTTGTGAGAATTCCTAAAAAAAAAGGAAAATAAAAATAGAACACGTAAGAAATTCAGGGAATATCTGGTTTAGCCAGGGTCAATTGGGTTGAAGATGTACAGGTGTACTTCGTAAAACTTAATTACGTTCGTGAATCTGATGCGTCGTAATTCGAGATACCTGGTCATGAACTTTAAACATTTATAAGCTATAAAATATTAAAAAGCTCTTTCTCGCCGATAAAATTCAGTAAGAACGGAGTGTGAACTTATATGTATTGTTAGAAGTGTTTGACTCGTTCATGTGTTGATGAAACATTAAAAGTGATAGAAAGGGGTATGGTGCAATAATAGCCACGTACCTACAAGATTGATATAAATGAAGATAGTGCGATATCTTAATCGTTACGCACATTTAACTTTTAAGTGATTAGTTTAATTATTTATTTTTTTCAATTATTTTTGTGTTTGTAATGATCCGATTGAATTATTTATTGATTTCCATTTATTTTAAGAATAGCTTTAAATAATTTAGTTTTGGTTGTCCATTTTGTATCATATTTATGAGAGTAAAACCATCTCTTCCTCAAAATGTTCCATATCTAGGAAGGATACATGACTGTTATTCAAATTATGCTGACAATAAACGGCTGAACGAGAATGAAGAAAATACGTGGGCAGAGGGGATGAATCGTCGATCCTCTGACATAAGGGCGTATCCCTATTTCCACATAACCCTCAAAGAGCATAGAGTTATAGGGAGCACAGGACTCACGCATGTAAATTGAGATACGCCCTTACTTATATCAGAAGAGAGACGACATTGGGGAAGCCGTCGGCGAGCGAACGATGAGATTCGCAGCCAAATATTCATTAACATTGTAAGAAAAACAATCCACTCAAAAATTACGAGCTCTCCCATTACGCCTTTCAGCTCGTAAATATCTACCGCGATGGTTTAATTATTTTCGCGCAGGTGTGATGAATTGGCGCGAAAAACGCGACGGGCACTTCAAAAGAGGCCGCCGAACCGTTCTCCGTACCGTGTCACCTGAGTCCCCCGACACGGCATTTCGAATTTAAATCGCCTTCAAAGCCGTATGATGCAACCTCGAGTTGCTCGCATGTTTAAACGGTGGTGGACAAAACCAAGTGCCGGAAGTCTTTCATCAAGTACGGGGGTTCCGGAACTGAAACATTGGACTTTTTGAAAAGGGATTCGAGAAATGCGACTCAGTGCATGGAATACTGGTGGACTTTCATCTCTAAGGCATTGCAACAGTGGAAGTACTATTTTAGTTTTAGACGATTTCCGCCCTGTAGGGCGAAATTAAATATTGTAATTTAATGACCATTTCCACATATATAAAAGCTGTTGCGTGTCTGTCCATTTGCCGTGGATTTTTGTTCTCTCCGGACGGATCGCTGGACTGATTATCCCGCGCTGGGTTTCATTTTGAAGTTGGTTGCGAGGAGGGCGTGTATGGACTTCTGATTTTCCTGCTGCGTCATTTTTACTATCTTTTATAATAATTTCAAAAAGAACGAACCTTCTCCGTTGGGCTGAAGGCTCGATTTTCCGGATTGTTGTATTAATCTAGTGAGTTATCCGTGAATTAAATCTAATGGAGGATTGGAGCAAAAAAAAATTTTTAACGGCAAGAGAGTCGATGTAGCGAGATAGTTTTCCTCAGCTGACGTGAAGGCTTACGCATATACCTTCTATTTCACGGGAGCTTTTGAAAACACTGAGTTGAGAGGACAAAGAGGCTCATAGCCCGTATCACATGATCAAGGTAGAGCTTTCAAAATGACACTATATCTTAAGTTTCTAAGCCCGTTTCACACGAAATTCCTTCAAAATTTCAAGATCTGAGTTACGATATGTCACAAATACATCGGTTACCTTCAAAGATCGCCAGGCCAATGCTCTTTGAAGAGGCTGCAGCCAACAATGTCATCGATAAGCCTTTTTGCGGGCTCCACTTTGATCGTGCGATACGGGCAAATCTCAAAGTGAATTTTTCCTCTTACATGAAGACATTTCGCCAACGATTTTTTGTCCGCGCATTTGTTTTTTCCAGTAATTTACGTCCACGCGTTTTTTCGGCACGGGAGTTTTGGTCCACGTGCCAGTTGAGACCCAAGCCAGGCGGCCAGCGCGAAACGCGCATTGGCCTCTACAAACCTAAGTGGATACTTCAAGCATTGTGCAATGCGTGAAGTATCCACTTAGGTTTGTAGGCGCCAGTGAGCCTCTCGCGCTGGCAGCACGCCGCTCCGCTCTGTTAGACTTTAATATTTATACTCGCATAGTCAGCGTTTTTTAACTTGAAATGTTTGCATACTCTGCATTGATTATTCTCATTTAAATTGATGGGTAAAAAATATGTATCAATTTATCAAAGGAGAATAATATAATGTGTGTTTTTTAAATATTGGTGGCTCGTGTCAAATTTAATGATTTCCAAAGCACTTTAATTTCTTCTTTTACATTTTGTGCTTTTATTGTGCTGCAGTGAGGTGTACGCGCAACCAAACGCTCAAATTTTGACGTATTCAACTCTAAAAGATCGATTTGCAAATGGGTTAAAACTAAAGATTGCGTGCTTCTTGGTTTTTTCCCTCTTTTATTCATTTTTGCAGTTTTTGTATACATACATATATTAGGTAAATTGTACATCGAATATTTTAGGGATAGAAATAAAACCAAATATTCACCAATGACAATTTAAAAAGATGATTCAAAAGGAGAAAGTAATAACATTTCATTTAGAAAAGGAGCAACCATAACAATACCTCCTTTTCTCTCAATTTCTCATTTCCATATTGTCAACATAATTTTACATACCGACTAAAATATAACGCTTGGACCAAGTCACTGTTGCTTATTTTACGTGTGGACGTAAACTTCTGGACAAAAAAGGTGCGCGGACAAAAAATCGTTGACAAAAAGTCCTGAAACCTCTTACATATCACCGGAACGACGTACCTAATGTCTATGGAATATGAGGTTTAAACACATCGGTGGATATGAGGTTATTTCTACTATTGGTATTGGTTTCTACTATTGGACTACTGATATAAAGTAAATAAGTTTCAGAATTTGAGTTATCACCTATATTAAACTGACTCCCTCTCACTTATCAAATGTGTACCCCAAGAAGCATTTCTCAACGGAAAAATCGCTATGTATTGCGATTTTATCGGCGGATCATCAACATTTGAGCGGTTATCCTCGATCTTATGGCAATAAAATCGCGCATTTATCGCCCGATAATTTATAGAGATATTTTCAAAATAAAAATCTCGATTTTTATCGACAAAAATTGATAATGATTTCATCGAACAAAAAATTGCGATGTGTAGCGATTTAATCCTATATATCGCAATTTTTAATGCGATAATATCTCGTTATATAGCCATCGATATAATCGCAATAACCAACCGATGAAATCGCTATTTATCGCGATCACTGCTACTTGGGACTTTTAATTTCTAATGAGAAAAGCTTCCCCACTTTCTGTTCTTCAACTCACCCGTCCACTCTTTCCATATTCTATTCCTCGCAGCAAGTTGAGTGAACCACAAAGGAGAGGGGCCAAAGTGGAAGAGGACCAGCCTCAATGTTAAAATAATTATTTGTTGTAATTATGTTTGGCCTACGGAAGAATGTAACTCCATTTCAATGTTACCAAACTTTCTCGTAAAAATTGCACTTTAACCAGGAAAATTGTGGAAAATTCCAATTGAAAATTTCACCAATTTTCCCTCTGATATCACTCAATAATCAGACAAATTTTCAAAAAAACTATGTAGATATATTCGTGGGAGAAATTGAATTGTTCAACTCAATTTTGCAACCTTAGAATTGAGTTACGTTTCTTCGATTGGGAAACGACGATTTACAATCAGTACAAGTCTGCCGTGCTAAGGAAAAACGCCGTATGAACATTCGAGAGTTGCCAAATTTCCCCGGATAAAACATGTTTTTTTGACGAAATCCACGTATACCTATCTCCTCAAAATTTTCAGATGTTTTAGATTAAATTGCGAACAAATTCGTCTCAAAATCGGAAGAAACATTTACAATTCCTCCAATAAATTCGTATCTTCCTAGAGGAAATTTGGCAACGCCTGGAGGTTCATACGGCGTTTTTTCTTTTGCCACGGCAGAAGTGAACTCATTTACCGTTTGTAAGTGGGAGAATTTTTTGAAATATTTACATCAATTTTATTAGTTTCACTACCGATTTTTCCTCCGACCGAACATCAATCAACCGCGGTTTATTCTTCACAAATTTCGAACTCTCCGAACTAACGAACTTCACCGTGTCTCACGTGACAACCCACACTCCCCGCAGCAAGTTGAATCGACCGCAGGGCCGCGGAAGGGGGCAAGGGGAGAGGTGAGGGAAACCCTCCGATTCCGGTGAGGAATTGATTAAAATCGGGGAAAGCGGCCCGGGGAACCAAATAATCGGCTTCCGGCGCTCGACCGACGAATTCGCGAAATCGATTCCGCGCACTTGAGCGACGCGAACTCGCGGGCAACGCGCGGCGAGACCCGGCTCCGACGCGGCGTGACTGCCGGTCCCGCGGCGAGACCCCAAATCTCCCGGCCCACCTCCGGGACGTCCGGGGCGTCCCCCCGCCTCAAATTTGATTTTCCCGCCGTAGAATCCAAGATATTATGAATGGAGGTAGAGCACTGCGAGATATGTCAGCGCCTCATTCCGATTGTGCGCTCGGAAAAATTAGTGGTTATGATTGGGGGAAAAACTATGCTGCCGTGTTAAATGAAAAACGCCGTATGAACATCCGAGAGTTGCCAAAGTGCCTCCTGTGAAATTTTAACTTTTGAGGAAAGTTACGATTATTTTCTCTTGAAATTCTCAGATAATTTAGAGCTGATAGTGAATAATATTCTCTAAAAATCGGAGGAAAAATATTCACAAATGTCCCTGAAAATTCATATTTTATCGAAGAAAATTTGGCAACGTCTAAAGGCTCATACGGCGTTCTTCCTTAGCATAAAGTATGTGAGCTACGTCAGAGGAAAGGGGTCTAAGCTCGCATGACATGGTCCCAGGGAGGTGGGGTCAAGCTCAGCAGTCAGCATGTAAAATATTCACATTTATCGCACAATCTGGCAACCCCTTGAGTGAAATAGAAAAAGGTGGAATCGACTCAAAGGTATAGAATCCTTCGAAGTTTATATTAGTGATTTCTATCATATCGTCACCTTCCGGCCAAAATATCAAAGGCGACATGTGACGTTTAAAAAGTTCACAAGTTAAAAAGACACGGAACCACCAATATTCGAAAAACACACATTATATTATTATTCTCCTTTGATAAATTGATACATATTTTTTCCCCATCAAATTAAATGAGAATAATCAATGCAGAGTGTGCAAACATTTTAAAATCATGAGTTAAAAAACGCTGACTATGCGAGTATGAATGTTAAAGCCTAACAGAGCGGAGCAGCGGCGCACTACTAGCGCGAGAGGCTCACTGGCGCCTACAAACCCAAGTGGATACTTCACGCATTGCGCAATGCTTGAAGTATCCACTTAGGTTTGTAGGCGCCGCAATGCGCGTTTCGCGCTGGCCGCCCGCCCGCCGTGCGGCGGTGCCTGAAGCAACTATTTCACAACAGAGGTGTTGCACAGTTTTATACGAAATTGAACGTATTAAGAATGACATGCATCCTTTGAAAGTACAGATTTTTCCTCGCAAAATGAATCAAAATACTTATCGTATGCTGGAAAAATCTAAGAGCCTTTAGCTGCGAGGCAAATGTAGAGGTTTATCCGGTTCAGGTATAACAAGGTGGGAAAATCTTGAAAGATAATTAAGTCCTGTTACACCAAAGAGGTGTAGAGAGTTTTAGTGAATTTTGTCTCATGGAATTGACGCTCCCCCATTTTTACCAAAACTCGCAACTATATATTATTCTCGGCTGGACCAAACAGACAAAACAAAAAAACAAGCAAACCCTCATTCTTCCAAGACATTTTACATTTTCATCCAAAAACGTTGTGAGCAATAATTATCGCTTGTATTTACATGTGGGCCAATTAACTTTGGGTCTCAACTGGCACGTGGACCAAAACTCCCGTGCCGAAAAAACGCGTGGATGTAAATTACTGGAAAAAAATAAGTGCGCGGACAAAAAATCGTTGACGAAATGTCCTATAACCTTTGGCCAGAAGGTGACGATATGTATTCGTGTGACGTTTAAACTTTCCAAAATTTTGTTTTAAGTGATGACGCGTGTAAAAGTAGATTCCATCTGTGGAAACCAACCTATAACTCTAATCACCTGAAGCGGAAATACAGATATCCGCCCGGCGTCAGTGCAGCACACGGCACGTCACCCATTCGCACCACTAAAAATAAAATCGGCCACTTGTCTTTTTAATATTAATCTCGAGAAATATATTTAGAGGCAGTGTCATGTTGCCAAATTTACATTAAGACGAGAACATAATGGAGTCGATGACCCCAGTAACGGAGGCTTCATAACATTTGTTTAAACTCGTAATAATTTTATGGTTCCTCCACCTCCACCCACCCCCTCGTTTCAGCTTCATCAATGCAGCATTGTTCAGTGGATTTGTTTTTTTTTTTTTATTTTTTCATCCAACCGAAGCGAATAGTCTATCTGAGAGCTCGAATAAAAGACTCGAGATCCTCAAGCCCCGAAGTTTCAGTTTTGAATCGTGAAATTAACCAGACGCTGCAGAAGTTCTCGCGATTTCAGTGGAGCCTTGACTATTTGATGGAAACTTTACGAAGTTTCATGCAATTTTTTAAAACTCTGGTGTTCAGATGTTATGACTGCATTCCATACCCATTCAATCACATACCCGAGAAAATGACTTTTAAATTCGCCAAGAGTCCAATTTTTATTTCAAACGGAAAGAATACCTAGCGCCGGGAGATTTTGCAACGTCACAAGAATTGACCCCATTGTAATCAGAAAAAAACAAACTGATCAATTTGAGGTTTTCAAATCTCAGAAACCCGTTGCTCCCTGAAATTCACTTGAGTGCATAAAGTGCATATCGACGGTGTAATTCGGCAACCACATGACTCGTATGCGGTGTCTGAAAATCTCCGCCTCTATGTTATTTTTTATGAGAGAACAAATTTACATCATTCCTTGAAGTTTTTTCAGAATTTTCCTCGCACAGAGAAGAAAAATCACGGCAGTTTTAAAAAATTGCAGTTGAATAGTTTTCCGTTTAAAAAATTAAGTACGACAGGAGGTTTGCGACGTCGCAAACCGAGTTCTGTGATTGCCGACTTACACCGTTGATGTCTCGGTTGCGGTATCTCAGGATCTCCGTTAACGCTTCATCTACTCTAATTAAAGCAAATACATGGAATTCGTTAAAACTTTTACTGAAGTTTCTCTAAGATTTTACAATGCTGAAAACTAAAAATTTTAGAAAAATCACTCAGTAATTTCCTCTCTAAAAATAAATAAGCAGTGGAGATACTGAAATACCTCGAACAAGAAATGCCCTTCCTACTACCAACATTTCAAGTATCCCAAGTTTCAAGGTAATCCCTAAATTTTACAACAATAGCCTTGTTGGAATTGAACTGTCTCCAATGAGACTGCTGAAATTGTCACATGTAATAAAAAAAATGATAAAAAATCGTCGAATATTATGATAAAAATACGTATCGCATTGGTTCACGCAAATTTGCCTTATGCCTGCCCTTTGTCATTCGATTCATGGGACCACTTCCAAAAATTGGCATCAGCGTCGTATGATACGTCTGTATGATGATTGGTGATGCGCGGCCGCTCAACGGTTGGAAGCCCGCCTAATTGTGCTCGCTAATTTACTATGTTATCATGAAATGATCATTGTTCATCTCTCCGAGCAACAGCTAAGACCAGCCGAGTTCAACGCCTCCGTAATCCGCACTCTAAATAATAGTAGGACAAACTTACCCCCCCCTCCCCCTGCCGTCCGCCCACCCATTTGTAAATGAACGCAGCAATCGCCCGAATTTCTGTTGAGGATTAGTGCTCAACTTTCACCTAGCAGCATACTTGGGTAATAGGATTGTACAACTAGAGAGGGGCTGAAAAGGGGGCCATTTTAGACGACCCCTACCCTATACCCTTCCCTTGCTCTGAGAAGTAGAAAGGTCTGTAGGACTCGGTAGATTTGCAGAATTCGCCGTTCCTCCATCAAAAGAACGTAACTTCATTTCAATGTTGCCAAATTTCCCCCGGCACATTGCATTTTTTCCAACCGGCTCCTGGGCATTTCTATCTGAACAGTTCACTGTTTTTTCCTCTGATCTCAAGCAAAAAAAAATTGGACGAAGATTGCACGGGTACAAACTTGTAAAAAAATAATTTCTTTAAGTCAATTCTGCAACCTTAGAATGGATTTACGTTCCTTCGTTGGGAGAACGATGAATTACATCATATAGATTTACATGCTTGGAAGTTTAGCTTTTAAAATAAGAAAATTGGTTACAAAAATCCTCTCTTTTATTTGACTGTCTCAAAAACGTCAGTTTCGGGAAAGAAAATCGCCATAAAGGCAAAAACTAATGAAAAGACAATAAGCATTGACTGAGCAGTGTTTTTGACCAAGACTAAAATAATAACTATCTCTGGCCATACGAAGAAATACCGTTCGGATCATACATTATGAAACATCAAAGCTATTCTGTTCAGGTGACTGGAGTTTTCGATCGTAGAAACTGGCATTAGGACCGAAAGAGCTCGGTTACCTGAGCAGCAAAACTTTCTAGCTGGTGGGATCGTTCAGACGCCTTTCAGGAAAGGGAGGGGAGCTACCTTACCGTGATCTCCCCTCCAGCCGCTGATGAAGTGTCCCTCTGCTTCTCCCATAAAAGTTGTTAATTCCTCTCGTGGATAATGATGATGCCATTAATTGCACCACTTCCAAGAATGCATTTGAAACTCTCATAAATAGCTAAGTAAATATAGAGTAACTTTTAGGGAGAGTATGGACATCTCGCCCCTTCTTTTTCCATGGAGGCCCTAGGACCCAAAAATGGCGGCGTTTTTTCTTTGGTTTTTGATGCTGAGAGGGGACATTGCCAACTTTTGACGGTTCTCACCAGTCGCACTTGCTGCCAGCCAAGATGATCTTTCTCGAATATAGCCCACAATTAGCCGTAAACCTATGCAAAGGCGTCGTAATAATGCATTTGAGTAAAGCTCTCGGTGCAACATGCAAGTAAAATTATATTTTAAGTCATTTTGTATTTACTCTTACTGAAAGCGTCCGTTATATTTGGGTCCTAAGAGCTCCATAAAGCTGTAGATAATGGAGCTGATAAAAAACAATAGCCTCATGGCGATACTCTCTTTATCGGGTTACTCTAAGTAAACACTGGTCCCTGGGATCCTCATTGTACAATTCATTTTCATCGTGAAATTGTCCAGAAGAAACAATTTAGGTAACGTGTTGCATGTTGTTAGCTCATACCATGTCTACCAGTCTACTCATTTCCACTGTATATACGTATGACGATGCTCTGACGAGGCTGTCGGTTTGACAACAGCTCCAAGTATCAAAAACTCATGAGCCTTG